ACTGACAATCCATGTGTCCGTCTGTCTATATAAGCATCCGTCCGTCCGTCGGTCGGTCCGTCCGTCCATCAGTGAACAACTCTAGTGCCTAAACAATTTGCCTTCATAAGAAGATTAAATCGTGTGTAACATATCGAAGATCGTAATCATGTAAAGTATTGTAATCGTGCCCCAGAAATTAGCGATTTTATTAACACTTATTGCCGAACCCCTGTGAAGAAAAAAGGATAAATCTTGTACCTATATGTAGTAAATTACGTCCTCTGCACGCAACACACACGTAGATTCCCAAAGGTGCCGATACCCCCTCCCGGGTGCGCTGGAGCTTTCTATAGGGGGAGGGTAGAGGATCCAGAAGCAAATAAACGGATTTGAGGGTAGTCAAGAGAAGCGGAACCTACCGCAGCAACACCGAAATATTTTGAAAATGTTTATTTACCATATTTAATAAAAGTTTGCAAAATATAGTTCATGAACATCGCTCGCGAGAACGGTGACAACGACCACATCACCAACAATCAGGATCTCTTTTTACTTTCTCGCTACTGCTTACACACTATAGAGAAATTATTGTAATGCTGTGGGGAAAATGGCGAAATTTCGTCACAAAATGAACTTTCATTACCGGTAATTAAAAAGTGGCTAAATCGTATCCATAGCAAATTACTGCCTCTAAAACGTTGTGAAGATATAATCTATGTTTCGTCGGTCCTTGATGCCGAAAAGTCCATTGACGGATGAACGTCAGTCCGTTCATCTGTTTGTAAAAAACGCTTACCGTAACCGGTTTAATCGTAAGTAGGATTTTCATGAAATTGTTACTCTCAAATCGATGTCAGCAAATGTTGCGGCACATTGAATTTGAAATCGATATTTTAATTTTGAGGATACATTACATAAACCCCTGGGATAATTCCAAAATTTAAAAAAAAACTTCCAATTGTTTGATTGAATTTTGTTGGATTGTGCGAAGAACGTTTAAGACTAGTGTAGGCTTAAGGTAAGGAGGCTTTATTTACTAGACGGTTATGTTACAATGGGTCGGTATTCATGCATTCATAAGGCGACAAGTTGTAGGTCCTTCAGTTTTGGATGTTTAATTTAGTCGTGAAATGATGCTGGCTTGTTTACAAAATGTGCTGCAAATATTGTAACGGTTGAGACGCATCATTGTTGACGCAACACGTCTCTTTAATCATTGTTGGGCGTAGATGTACTCGTATTACCTGGGGTAATCCTCCATTATCGAGTAATAACTATGTTTGTCGAGTCTCGTCATATCGCAGAGTGTCAGTCCCTTCGGCCAAGGGCTGACGCCTTTAGATCCCTTGGTTCCTAGACGTATGTATTCATGTTTGTATCTTTTGTAGTAGTAAGAAAGAGCTACTGTTCCTGACTAGCAAAATAATAACAGACATCCATCGAAGGCGCTTCGTTTGAATTGGTTTGGACTTTTTCAAGTGAAGGGCAAAAATTGCAACATTGAATTGAATTGAATCTATGCCTCATTTTACGAGGCGAGACTCGGGCCATCAGGCCCGCTCTTCCGTCTGACCACGCAAATTTCGCTACGCTCCTTTCACCAACTAGCAGAGAAAGGAGGTATTTCTTGGGCGAGAAACAGGCGATTTTGAATTTAGCTCAGAGGCGTCATTTAGGCTTGATCTTTCACATACAAGTAAATCTACTAACATGGGAGAGCCGGCTTTACTTCCCCTTCCGAAGGAAGGCGTACGAAAGATTTTTTAGTCCTTGAAAATCCACGGCTTCGATTGGGTTTGAACACGCCAACTCTGGTATAACAGTCCGATACGCTAACCGTTACACCATCGCCGCGCGTTACAATATTACGTTACTGTTCCCTTTAATGCGAGAAAGTAAGCGCTGTTGTGGCCTTTCGTCTAGTCCTTTGTGGAATGACTGCAGCGGTCGAGGCGATTCTGTGCGAGCTGGCGCGAGGCCAATTGTTGTTTGCGAACCCTTCACCGTAGGCAGCGAGGACGACAGCTGCAGTGGCGCCACTCGGGTGTCGAAAAGATGTACGAACTTGAAATTATTTATTTATGGATCAAGTTAGTTCGTACGTGCACAAAACCAAAAATTTGAAAGGGATAGCTCTAGGAATGTTTTAATATTTTAATGTGCTTTATCGTGATAAATAGTTATGAGTGATAAGTGATAGAAGCCCGTATAAACATTACTTTTTGTATTCCAGCATTATAAAAGAACCTTTTCTGTTGCAAGAAATCTGTTGCAATTTTATGTCACGAATAATTGCGTCACACATATTCAGCCAATCATAGCGAGAGAAAAAGGGGGAGGTAGAGCTAAACGGAACAGCCAACCACCGTTTACTCGCACGATGTCAAATACCCGAGTCGTCACAGGGAAGTTGTTTCACAAAATTAAGTTTGATTCTCTTATAAATGTATAATGCTGTTATACAAAAAAATATAGTATGCAACTCGTTTATAATGTTGCTTTATTACATTTGTACAAACTCGCTCGTTTTCAAAACTGTATTCTTGCAATAAAGCTTAACATTATAAACTAACTGCATAAACGACTATATCTATTTACAATGCAGTTTTGATTATTTACAATATAGGCTTACGGAGTCACCTACAAACCAATGATTCGCAATATGTTTTCTCGTAATTTGACGAAAATTAATTTATGGAATCTTCTAGGCTACAAGAATATTTAAAATGCATTCTGAGAAGAGGAACAAACAGTTATCTTTTTTGAGGGACTGGAAAAGCAACATTTGAAACCTTATTGTGTCGTCTCATAAACAAGATGATACCACACTACAATTGCAACTCTACTAATATAACCTTCAATTGTTGATCGTAAAAGCAGAAAAAATGCAACTGGCGCAGAATAAGTTTTGCCGACAGTAAAAGAGATCACTGAACAGAAGTCTGTGCAGAAATTTGTATTCGTATTTCCTTCATCCTACTTGGCCCAGCATGGGTTCAGTGCAGTAGCAAATACGCTGTCAAAAAGAGAAACAAACTAATACTAAACTACGTACAAAATGCACATCCCTAAACGTGGTGAACGGCGATTGATGATACGAAGTTGGAAGCCCCTCCCCCAAGGTCACATTGTCACATTCTTACCGGGAGAGGTGACTCAGGGCATCAACTTGTATCACCGCAATGCCTCTGAGCGGGAGGTCCTGATTGATTAAGTGATTACTAGTGATTTCGATAGCGTAAATGCTAAGGCCATTAGTCCTGTAAGTGTAGTTCATTTTTTCTTTGGGGATGTGGAGTTGATCTTTCCTTGCTGGAGCCTTACAATGGAAATGAGGCATTATATTAATCGAAATTCCTTCAAGAAATACCAAAATTACTATCGTCTAGTTGATGTGAGGATCGAATAGTCAACGAATACTCCCAACTTAAAGATCGTGTGTATGTGGCAAAAAATATCACATTCAATTTCCACTTTCCATTTCTTCTTTCTTTGGCAAGTCACTGCATTTTGTTCAGAAATTGAGTTTAAATTGAAACTAAATTATTTCACTTGTTTTAGAAAGCGTTAGTTTTGAAAGGACTATTTTCCTTTATTGAAAACTACTTACGCATTAAAACATTTTGTAATGATGCAAGAAACATGGCGACATTTCGGCAGAAAAATTCGTAATGTAAGATAGTGATACAAGAGAAGTGGATAATTCTTGTTCCTACATGGTATGTCCTTCCCATTACTTCTAAACAGTTCACAATATCGAAGTGCAGTTTTCGTTCAACAATGCACACTTATTGGGCAAGTAATATGCCTTCAATATATTTCAGTAGTATTTTTAATTTTCATTAAATTTAATAATATGTGATTTTTTAAATAACTATGTATATTTTTCTCTCTGAAAATGGATAGAGCATAAATGCAGTAATACATACATATTATTTGAATCGCAATTGCATATGATCCGATGGCAGTTAATTAATAATTGCAATAATAAAAATAATAGAAGAATACAAAACATACCGAGGATGCAAACAATGTTGTTTCGTTTGTTAATGTTCTAATAGTAATTTGAGTATAAAAGTATTGTCCGATTTTTAAATTAAACGTCAATATTTCCTTTGAATGCCCTTCCGACGGTGGCCTTTGGGGATGGGGGACTTGACTACGCCGAATCTTACGGGGAGAGGGCGACTGAGAACCTACTGACCTACTGGACTGAGACTTGCACACTGAATATCAGTGTTGGAATTGGTTTGCGGTCTGCTTGCTTACATT